TACTATATATTACTTTATATAGTAATACGACATTACTACATGTATAGTAAATAATACTACATTACTACATATTACTACATGTAGTAAGTAATACTACATTACTACATATCACTACATATAGTAAGTAATACTGCATTACTATATATTACTACATGTAGTAAGTAATACTACATTACTACATATTACTACATGTAGTAAGTAATTATTACAATTACGGCTTAAAAAAGACTATGTAGTAATATATGTAGTAAATATAATTGTAGTAATTACCCATTTACGACGCCAATCACTAGACTGTACTAATAAGTTACCCGGGCAATCGGTTTATCGAAGGATACAATCTGTAAATATTAGATAATAAAAACACAACCAAATTACGTTTCACAATTTTTAAGAGCGTTGCTTAAGGACGTTAATTAATTAAACACAAATGTCTGTTACATTACCAACCAACTGACTTTCATTCACTATTGTATGGAAATGACGATAATAAATAAATGTTGGGCGCAGAAAAGCTATGAAAGAAAGCCGGTCCCAAACTCTAAGCACGTAGGGGAAATTGTTCGCGCATGTGACTCCAGCCAATGTTTGACTTTTGACAACCACCCTAGCGTTATCAACCTGAAAATTTCGCTATCTATTAGATCAAAATTCGAGATCGGTATAACTAGAATTGGCAATATTGATATTAGAGATGTGCAAATGCAAGTTTTTTGGTTTTGCATCACATAATGCAACATTATGTCGCATAACACATTATGCAATTCTGCATAATATATTGTGGACCTCTAAAACCTAAATGCAGCGAACAGACTTTATATTATTACTGAGAGGTTATCGGATTTGAAAACATAAACTATTAAATTTATATAGTGAAAACAGACCTAGTAGATTAGTTTTTTATTGGATTTAATAGGCTATTGATTTTGATAGGAACAAGTTTCTATAAAGTGATTGTTGATAAAATAACATAGATCAAAATTGCATAATAACTTCTATGTGCATTTTTAAATTTTAGGCAACTTGCATCACATTATGCAGCAGCATGCAACATTGCCTGCATAATGTATACGGCACATCTCTAGGCTCCACTATTAAAAATAATCAAAAGTTTTTTTTATTTTAGAAAAGTTAGCATAATAATGACTTCTTAAAACTAGGTTATCACCATGCTAACTTCTCTAAAACAAAAAAGAATTTTGATTATCTTTAATAGTGGAGTCCTACAACCCTAATAAAACTTTCTATATACTTCTTTTTTGTTTATTCTTCGTAGTTTCCTTTTTTTTAAAAAGTACTTTAAACTATATAAATAATGTAAAATTAAATTTATTTAAACAACAATCATACGAATGTTTGCCTATGAGTGTACTAGCATAATACAATCCCTTTAAACAATTCAAGCGCATATTATACAATAAAATTTTTGGTAGTTTTTATAATTTCTAAAGATGAAATTAGGTTTATCGTTTCGTTACTGCGAAACCTTAAGGTTTCGTCGAACAACTATAATTACGATACATACACTTGTCTAGTTCTAGCAATATGGAAAATCAAATTTTAATATAGTTTGCTTTTAAACATTCATACTCCATTAAATTGACAAACTTTGCTTTCGCATCTAAGAAAGTTATAATTCTACGTATATACTTGTCTGGTTCAGGCAAGGTGGCAGTATAAACCTCTAATTCAAATGAATATATTTAATTATGACCATAAATTTGAGAACTTTGTTTATAGTAGAATACATAATGAAAATATTTTACAATCTAGATGATTATTTTTAACTAATCAAATTTTTCTGGCCCACGGGCCAGGACCGGCCCGATGACCCGTTTGAACATTAATATAGTGTGTGTGTTGATGTAACAGAAGCAATATATTGAATTACCGATATTTTGACTTAAAAAATATTCTTATCAGTTATACTGTTAACTTACTATAGCTTTAAATATGTTTATGTAACAGAAGTAATATGCTATTATTGTCTGGTGCAAAAAGGTTTGCACCTCAAAAAATGCTAATAACAATTTTATTTTCACTGCATAAATGATTTAAAAAAAGAAGAAAAAAATTTTTTTATTTATATTAATTTTTTATTACATTATATGAAATCTAACTTTTAGTGCAAGGTTGTAATTTTCATAACATAACCCCTATGTAGTGATGTGATGTGCCATTTATATGATACCTGAAAAATTTTAGCGTACAGTACGTATAGTTCTTTTCTGGCATATGATTGGCTGGAACAAGTGATCGGCGAATACGCGGCACATCACTACTCCTAAGGCTTCTACGAAAATATCTTTGTGCGAACTTTATAAAAATTTCATAATATCTTTTGTGAAACTTTTTTAATATCTGTTTAAAGACAATAAATCCGTATTTATTATTGTTATATTATCACTATATGTGAAATTAATTAGAAAAACCAACCTTTGGCATTTTTTGGCCGATTTTAGATTTTTAACTCTAATTAAAATTTGTTTCTTATTTATACATTGTACAATTTTTATCCGATGCTAACTTAAAATAACGAGATATTTAGTTCTCCGAAGATGTTATACTAAAAATGGAACAATAACCAATTAGACGATAATTTGGTGTAGAATTTAGGCATGTGATCTTGATTGTATAAAAATTTCAAATAGTACATACGTACGTACGTACGTCTAAAATATCTGGAATTTAAATTTGCGTAACACAAACATTAATCACATTTTTTATAAACTCAAACTATCCGTCGAAGATTGGTTATCCTAGTCCATTGAAGATGTATTGGATATCGACTTCCGTACTCTTGTCGATCCAAAAATAATGAGGAAGAAAACTTTAAAGAAAACCAAAATTAGATAACCACATGGAAAAGCTAGACTTTAAACAAAGACAGTCGTATCGTATCGTATCGTATATTATGTAATTCATTTACTAAGGATAATTTTGTGTAATTCTGGTATTTATCAGAGATAAAAAAAAGGGGCATTTTAATGGTAACACGATAGACATTTGTAGATCATTTCATAATGCACATCAAAGTGTACAATGACGTTTATCCGTTCATCCGTGGATGACAAAGTAATAAAACAGGAAAATATTCGTCAGTGTTCTTTAATCTTCCCTTCATTCTCTGCCTCTTTTTTTTTTTTTTTTTGAAAACAATTTGTTTTATTATAGGATCAAATCAACGAACTTAAAGCGAAAATGATTAAATCTGTAATAACTTACATTCTCGAGATCTGTATGATCATCTTACCTTCGATAGGATATTTTCATCAAATCGCAAAATTTCGAAAAACAAAAACCAGCATCGGGTTTTCTTTGGATACATGTGGTGTATTATTGATTAGCAAGTAATGAATAACTTACAAAGTTCTAACAAGATATGATTTTTTATCGATTTTATCATGATCTTAATATATTAACTTATTTTTTTTTTAGTGTTATTCGAGTTTTCTACTGGCAAGAGAGCATTTTGGACTAGTATTTTAATATAATCTAAAGAATCGAACTCACCACAAATTTTATTAAACAGGTTTGGACGAAGATTTGATAATACGCTTTTATATCAAAGCATATTAATGATTATCATTCAACTCGTTCTTCTTTATGAGGGTTTAAGATTTCGTGATCACCTAATTTATACATCAAATCAACGATGGTTTTGGAACTGGCGAGAATATAAGTCGTATATTATTTTTTTGCTTCTTTTAGCAGGAACGTTGGGAGTCCTTTCCATTTTTTTTAACGAACAGCCCTGGATCGTGGAAGCTTTGGGATATGTGGTATGCATTGAAATATATGTATTGACAAATTCTGAAATTATTAAAGTAATTTGTGCACATTAATTAATAAAAAAAAACGATCGGTTAAGGCCCTGGGAATCGAAAGTACGCTTCCTATGCCTCAATGTTTGCAAAATTTTAAACAAAAATCCGTTGAAGGATTCAGGTATAATTTCATAATCTTAACTTTTTGAAATTGCAACATTTTGAAAATGTAATTAACAAATAATTTTATATTATGAAATTATCAAAAGTATTTTGATTCTTCTGACCTGGTTTGGCAGTGATTCATTTAAGACCTACTACTACATAAGCACGAATGCGCCGCTTCAGTTTACTGTTTGCGGTCTTATCGAATTGTTAGTTGATACGATTATTGTTATACAATTCATTATTTTCAATCGTAGGGTGAGAGAGTTTTTTGGACTCGAAGTTTCTAACCCACGAGATATGTATTTACCATTCTGATGGTGGCATTTTTTAACCAGAAGAAATGGGTTGTTTATGATTTGTCTTTTGAATTTGTTCTGTAAGAACAATATATTTCATTTTTTATATTTATTAATTAAGTTATTAAAAATAAAATTTATCAATATGATAATTTATTTGTAATTTGATTTGATTTGATTGATTGATTGATTGATTTGATAATTCAATTACGAATCTGAAATCATCATTAAAAATAAAAGAGACAACAATTATAAACACTTGATCAAAATGATTATGTTTCAGTTGGTTAATTTCATAGTCGTTTAACTTGAAGTTTGTATTTCTAATGGTTTTAACATTTGTCAATTTTACGTCATATCTTGATAAATAAAAGCTTTATATAATATCACTACAGTAGTTAATAGTTAATATCATTACAGTATTACAGTAATTAGATTCAAATTATCTTATCGCTACTCAATTGATTCATCAAAGATAGATACAGAATACATATCTGATATGTAAGTACGTACGTACGTACGTAAATTCAAACATGCAAGCATTCAAATTTGGAACACCAAGCCTTATCTTTGAAAAGAATTCCATTGGGTTATAAAATCACAAGAATTTACATCAATGATAAATGTTCTACCTTTCAAATTCTGAAACAAATGCGTATTACATATTCATTTTAAGATCAGATAACGGTAATAGTCGATAAATAAGATTAATAGGGGAAGCAGGTTCTAATAAAGGAAAATGATAAATGCATGACTTCCGAACATCCTATCAAACTCTTAAATGCTTAAAATTAATACAGTAATAAAATGCGTAATTTACCTATTTTTGGAATTTAACGCCTTAAAAATTAATCACGTATAAAAATAAAAATTTTATTTTTCCTGCTTTCAAGTTGTCAAACTATTCTGGTTAGATTTCGGATGCTTTATCAAAATTTGGCGGATATGATCAACATGTGTTATGCAATAATATGAGATCATATGTAGAATAAGGTGCACGAGATAATGCTATAATGAACTTTAGAATCTTCTCTTTTAACTTTATCCAATAATTTTGATTTTTTCAACGATGAGTGTAACTATTTATAGTAAAGATTTTCGAAAAAATTGATTTGTTTGCCAAGAAATTTTTTGTAAACAATCGTGTTTGCCAAGAGATATTGTTTTATTTTCATCTCATAAAAGGAAAGATATGTGCATTACCTATCTGCTATGTATAATATATATGTACGCACTTGCATGCGGAATATCAGAATATGAGATCAATTACCATTGGCCTGACCAAAGCATCCCTGTAGTACATGTAATATTCCAGGGTATATCGATCGATATACTTTACAAAGTGTACATTACTACGTACGTACGTATGCTAGTAATTCTGGTTAAATTAGTTACATACATATGTTAAGATTTTTGATAGGCTTTATCGTTATATATTGTATTATAATTTTTTTTTTTTTAATTAATTTAATTAAAACAAAAAAATTAAAAAAAAATTCTTCATTACGTGAATAATCAGTGTGGCGTGCTTGTGATTAATTAACGTAAATACAATTATATATATCGATATCTAATTATAAATATATACAATGTATAATATTATTCTATTAACGTTTTTAATAACGATGGCAGCGCTATTAGAGAAAAAAAATGGGGTAGTCACTGGATCTTTGAGTTTTGGTATATAATCTTTCGACGGTAAATTATCTAAAAATTTTTTTTTATTTAATAAAATTTACTTCGGTAAAATTATTCAACAATGATTGAAACTGACATCGAATCATCCTTTGGGAGAAAAAGAGTGTGTTATTAAAAATATTGATTTTTTTTTTGATTCATCATTATCGTTAAATTCGTCAAATTTCGATTTATTATTATCTTTATTACAGATTATATTAATTTTATTGATTAATTATAATTTAGTCAAAATTTGGCGCTTCTCAAACTCTAGTTCTAGCCTTTAAATCCCTAGGTTGGTATCTAATTTAAATTTTCAATTTATTACTTTATCAAATAATTATCTAACGGTTTTGTTTTTCAAAGTTTAGGCGTTATCTTTGGGGATATTGGCACCTCTCCCTTATATGGTAGATTTTGGCTTTTTCGTTTGAATGAACTTCTCTAATTTCTGATGAACTACATTGCATTATATTTACACATGTATATTTTTTTAAAGTGTATTCCGGAATTTTTTCAAGCCCTCCAACGAATCCGCAGGATGTCTATGGTTCGTACGTTGATTGTCTTATTTTTTAAACAAGTAATTAATTCCTTTTTATTCATTTCTTGATATTTGTAGGTTCTTTATCCTTGATTATTTGGTCTTTGGTAAATATTTTGGTCTTTTAAAAATCTTTTCTTTCAAACTTTTACTTTAATATATATATATATTAGACTATTGTCCCTTTGATAAAGTACGTTTGTATCGTAATTTGGGCGGATTACGATGGTGAGGGTGGAACTTTCTCTTTATACTCATTATTAAGTCGGTATGTATATTGTGTTTTTAAGCGTTAATTTCAGTATGTACTTATGTTATGTGACTTAATATAGTATGACTTTTTTTTTCTAACTCGTCATTCAGACATTCCGGCCTTTCTACACATATAACTCGAAAATTCGGTGATTCATCAGTTTCAAAATATGGCACCATGCCAATCAACGGCCCTGAACGTCCTAATTTCATTTCAAAAAGTCAGACCGTTCAGAATTGTTTACTTGTCTTGGTCTTCTTTGGTGCTTCTACAGTGATAAGCGATGGTTTATTGACTCCCGCTGTGTCTGTGATTTCCGCTATTGAAGGGATTTCTGTACCCGCTCCAAGCTTAAGAAATGCCATTGTTCCCATTAGTTGGTACGTACATAAGCTATGATTGTTACTTATCGTAAAAATAGACTAATATTCTAATTTATTTATCTTTCTTTTTTTTTAAAAAAAGTTTTATTATTATTTTATTATTTATGGGCCAGCAATTTGGTACTAATAAAGTTGGAAGCTTATTTGCTCCGATTATCTCTCTTTGGTTTTTATCCATCACTGCTATCGGCATTTGGAATATTACTCGGCATCCTGCCATCTTTAAAGCCCTCAACCCCTATTACGCTATTGACTACTTTGTCCGCAAAGGTGTTTCTGGGGTAAAAATATGTTCCATTCTTTGATTTATCTAATAATCTTCTATTTATTTTTATTTCATTCTTTGATTTATATATTAATCTTTTTTTTTTCAGTTCTTGGATCTAGGTGGCATTTTGCTTGCTATCACTGGGTAATTTATTATATATAAATATATTATATTATATTATAATATACATATTTATAAACTATATATCTAACTTTAAATTTTCGATTTCAAATAGCGTGGAAGCAATGTTCGCTGATCTTGGACATTTCAGCCGAAAAGCCATCCAAATATCTTTTCCATTCTTTGTTTACATTCCTTTGGTCTTGACTTATTTAGGTCAAGGTGCCAGTTTAATCTTGAATCCTAATGTGATTGAAAATACCTTCTGGTTATCAATTCCCGATAATAAATTAATTTACTGGTCCATGATTATCTTGGCTACCTTGGCTACGATTATTGCTTCTCAGGCTATGATTTCTGCTACCTTTTCTCTAGTTTGTCATTCGAGGAAATTAGGATGTTTCCCTGGTGTTAAGGTATATTTATTGATTATCTTATTTCTCGTTAATATATTTGCGAGTATATAACGTATATATATACGCATTTGTACACTTACTATATATATAATCTGTATATACGCGTTCATACACGTATATACGTACAAGTACATACGTATTTATCTTGTATATATATCTTGTATATATATGTATATGCGTGTTTATATACTTATCTTTCGTGTCTATACGTATACATTACTTATTTTTTTGTCCAAAAGGTCGTTCATACTTCAAAAAGCGTCGAAGGCCAAATTTACCTTCCTGAGGTAATAATAATCTGCATATTCATATTAGCTATTTTTTTTATATATATTTTGACTTAAATATATAATTATCCTTTAGGTCAATTACTTTTTAATGACATTGGTCTTGATCATTTGTATTACCTTTCAGAAATCTAAGAATTTGTACTATCCTTTTTTTCACTATCTTTTAAGTTTTTAATATTTCCAATGTTTTATGCTTATTCCTTTTAATTTATTTCTTTAGGACGAACGCTTATGGCATGGCTGTTGCGTTAGTGATGTTTATCACAACAATCCTAATGACCATCGTAATTCGTGTTGTTTGGAAATTTCCTATCTTTGTTTCCATCATGTTTTTCTTATTTTTTGGCTTCATTGATATATCATTTTTATCTGCTACTTTACGTAAAGTTCCAAATGGTGGCTGGTTTGCTTTATTTGTTGCTACCATTCTTACCTTCGTAATGTGTTTATGGAGGTTTAAGTGGTTCAAAAACGTTGGTTCTGGATTTTTCTCTAGTACCAACCCAGATGACATTTTACAAGAGCCGGTTCTTCTCCGTGAATCGTCGTCTGAGTTACCTCCATTTTGGATTAAAGGTACTGATTTGAATAATGGAAGTATCGATCAAGCTGAATCTTCCTATAATATCCTTACAACAACTAGCTTCAATGAAATGGTTCCTCATAAGAAAATTACGGATTTACAACGAACTAATATACAAATCCATTTATCGAACGATAGAAATCCTATGTCACATTCTTCAAATATTATATAGTCTATTATTGTGATAAAAAATTGTATACTTCTATACTTTTTTTTATCCATCTTCTATTTTTATTAATCAATTTCTATAACGATTGTGATTTCTAGATATGGTTACATGGACAAAATCGTTTCATGTAAAGAATTTCCATTAAAATTAAAAATAATTCAGATTTAGATATTTCAGATTTAGGACTTCCTCCAGTTTTTCCTTTTTTCTCTCTTTTTTTAATATGATCAATATTTAAGGTATTTATCATAAGATATTAAGATGGAACATTTTGGTATTGAAATTTATTCGTATTTTTATGGTTTATGTGTTATTGTTATTTTTCTTAAATAAATAAATAAATATTCTATATTTAATTTGATAATTAAAAAAAATAAAATATGCCATTTATTATTATTATTATTATTATTGAAACTGAAACATCATTGCAGCGAATTTATTAAATACCCCAGAATTTGAAAAGTGGCCATTAATTTGTAAATATAGATTTTGACTGATATAGTCAACATTCCCAAATTATGATACGTCATTTTAATAAATTTCTATGTTTAATAAGATGCGTCGAAATGGGAAAGATGGGTTAGACACATTTTCAATCAAGATTAGAGGACCAAAAAATTTTTTCGTGGTTTACACTGATCGATTAATATGTTAATTTGTAGCTATGAAATTTGGGAGACCAAATGCTTGGATTTAGTGCCCGAATTTAGCTTAATTTCATAAAGTCGCCATGATAATTAGTTTAATAGATAAACTGACTATTCGTAATTTATCATAAACTTATAAATTTACCTTTGACGTCCTATATCACGATTGTGAAGTGATTTTTTTATTCAACTATATGTCAATTATTTATGCGTATTCGTTATTATGCATAATATCTCGGCCAACCAATTGCACAAACGCGTGAATATGCATTTTTGGTTACACTAAACTAATACAGTAATTCACGCGAATAAAATCAAATTACGATCTAAAATGTAATTATGAAAAAATATTTCTATTTAGATGATGTTTATGATTTAAATACGTTTTAAATAAACAAATTCAAATAATAATAAAATATTAATCATTGCGGTTTGCAAAAAATTATGAAATTTGCAGATCAAAAAAAAAAAGAAATCGATGATTTCTGATTGCCGATTTCTTTAACATTACGCACTCCGAAAATGTGTACAAGGTTGGGCCGATGCTCACAAATCTCGATTTCTTTTAATATCAACAATGCTGCAATATCGAAAATCATAATGATCTATGTTATAAAGTTGACTTTCCCTTTGCACTGCACTTTTAGTTCTATTATTTTATTTCTTTATTTGCACATAACATTGAAGAAAAGAAAATAAAAAAGAAATAATTTATTTGATCTATTAATTTTACTTCAAATACTTTAACATTAAATCAAGCTTGCCTAATAATTACGCAACAAAACATGAATTTATATGATAAGCCAGTCTTAAATTTATCAATCAAAAACAAGCTGTTTTTTTAGGAAATTTAGTTTATTCACTGAAAGTTTCTTTGAATATCTTTTTTGTCTTTTCGTAAGGAAAATTTTTCTTTGTTAGTTGAGAAATTTTGAATACGGAATAGTCATCCGAACTGACGAGCTCATCCGGAGCACAACCTGTACACATTTTCAGTATGTATTACACTGAAAAAATTGCGTATTTTTAATTTATTGCATTATATAAATTTTCCAGATCAAAAAAAAAAAAAGAGATTGATGATTTTCGCTTTCTTAAATATTTTTTTGCAGAAATAGAAATTGTAGATTCATTATTTTGTAACATATTATTTAGTATCTTTTGTAGGGATATAGTTAGGGATGTTAAACCGGTTAAATTAGGTCATCTCAGTCTCAAGCTAGTAGTCTCAAGCTGGTAGTAATGTTTTACATTATTATAATTGGGCTCAATACAAGAAGTCATGTGAACAAGAATTGGAAGAAGAGCTGCTTGAACTTCTGGCTAATAATACTATGCAAGTAGATATTATAGATAAAACACAATATAGCAATAACAAGATTGAAAATTAACTTGAAGAATTCTTGTTAGAAAACATAGATAACAATATGCAGCTAGACAAACAAAATAATATCAAAAAAAGAAACTACACAACACAGGAAATTATAATTGACACAGCTGAAATTACGATAGAAACAAAAGATATATTAGTAAAGGAAGAATTGAGCATGTTAGATTATGGGATTTTAAAAAAGACAGTTTTTGTTAAAGAGCAAATAACAGATAAAAGCAACAAAAGAGTCAAAAAGCATAAAAATATCTTCAATTCAGCATGGGCACCAAGAAATAAAGGTAATAAAATTAATGTTCCAAGTAAAGATGTATATAGCTCTGCTTGGGCACCAAAAGAACCTTCTCTTTTACAAAATAACTTGATGAAATCACTATATCTATTTACTATATGGGATTTTCCAAAAGAAATGAGCAGATATAAAATTAAAAAATACTTGAAATATTTTGGTGAATCCAGGCTAATCAGGTGGTGACTGAATTTCACAACAAAGGCAGCATATATTCAAATTTTAACCAAGACAGAAAAACACAAAACCTTGTTCAAAAAACATTAGTCAATTACCCTAGACTATGGAAAACATATAGAATGACCCTGGGTGAATTTGATATTGTAGAGTTAGAGAGAAGAAACAACTTCAGATCAACAATACACAATATACCTACAAGAGCGGTAAATAGTTTTCTTTTTCATCAACTGAAAAAAAAACAAAGTACAAGCTATACACATTTTATTATAAAATCTCGAAATAGTGGGCATGGGAATTATTTTGAAACTTGGCCCGAATTAAGCTTAATTCAGGCCAAGTTTTGAAATAATGCCCATGCCCTCTATTTCGAGATTTTACGGTAAAGAATAGCATGGCAGACATTCGATTTGATTGGCTTGAAGATCCCTGAGTTACACAATATAAAAAAAATTTTTACAGTAACAC